TCCGGCTATCTTAGCCTAGCATAGTTAACACAGTATGGAAGATTAACACTGACTGTAAGAGCTGTGACTTTTCTGATAAGTGTGTGAAGCTAAACTCAGATAATATGAAGAGTAATGGTCTTTATTTAGCTAAGTAATCCTAAATTAATGTGTTATTATATATCTTGTCTAGTAAGTAGCTGTTAGCCATGCAGTTAGATTTGGTGAATCAACATTCAGTCACACCTACAATTAGGGCCGAATGATTTGGGTAAATTATATGAAACTTATCATATAAGTTTCAATTATGGGCGGCACGGTGGTGGTGCAGTGTTTAGCACTGTCGCCTCACAGCAAGAAGGGCCTGGGTTCGATTCCCGGCTGGGTGACCAGGGTCATTTCTGTGTGGAGTTTACATGTTCTCCCCGTGTCTGCGTGGGTTTCCTCCGGGTGACTGTGTCTGTCTGTCTGCCCTGTGATGGACTGGTGACCTGTCCAGGGTGTATTCTGCCTTCTGCCCAATGACAGCTGGGATAGGCTCCGGCACCCCACCGCGACCCAGAAGGATAAGCGGTTTAGATGGGGTGTGTGTGTGTATTGTGATTATGAATTAAATGTGATTGTTTCTATAAATTGAGTTTCAAGCCCTTTTTCTCTTAGAAGAACAGCTCGTCTGTTTATTGGACGAGTGCTGAGTGTAGAGTGCTCTACTGCCAGTTCACCAGCTATTAGGCCGAATTTCTCCATTTAGAACTGTTTAAAACAATAATGAATAATATAGGATAGTCATGCTTAAAGAATGAAGCTCATTGCAGGTAGCTTTCACTGCCTGCTGCTCTTCTTTTATGTTCATCTCTATTAATTAAACGACAGCAAAGGTAATTAATTACCTTGCTGTGCACTGTTTTGTCTTTTTGACCACAATCACTGCACTTTGGGCCCAACACAACCCTGATATAGCAATAGCGGCTATGAGGATCATCCTCCTGGTCTGTTTAAAGACTTGCAGTCTGTACTTTCTAGTGAATGTTGGAGTTCTCAGGGTGAGACACTGTATGCTCAGTCTGGATAAATAGTTGTGGTTTGTTATAAAGTGATGATGAGCTCTGTGGAAGCTGCAGCAGAAGAAAAACATGTTCATTGCTCTCGTTCTTTAAGAAGGTTCTTACTGCTTTTAACTGGTCTCTATTTTTCAAAAAACAAATTACGACTTTCCCACCAGGAGGCGCCACATGAACATCCTTCAAAGTTGAGTGTGAAATGTACATCACAAATTACAAAATGAAAGTAATGAAATAACAATGCACACATATAAATAATAGTAATGCTGAATCAAAATTAGTATGTACAATTAGCCCCTATTTTATTTGATACATTTTTGTTCATAACAAAGCCACAAACTGATAGATGCTCCAAGCTGATAATTTGGTTTCAGAATGCAATAAATGCCATTTTCATCCAACAGTGTCATAGTCTCATAACCTTTTAAGTGCTGCTGTTAGGTAAACATACATATAAGACCACTCCCTACTTTATGCTCTGAGCAGGTCCTGAAAATCCACATTCCATTAAAACAGAAACCACTCTGAGCTCTAAACTCCACCTCCCTGTCGCTGTGAAAGGATTAGCTGTAGTGATCAAAGCAACTTGGATCGATTATAAGAACGGTAAGAATGACAGATCTGATATTTATTATATCTGTAATGTGTTTTATCAGACATTGTTCGGTCAGGAAGGTCTGAAGTTTGTACCTGTATCTGCCACTGTGCTGTAACTAAACATAAAACAGTCTGATTAACTCTCCATTAAAGACTCCTGTGTACAGAGCATGGTTGAAATGCAGCAATGCTCCATGTAATAACTCTCAAATATTTCTCCTAAAGCACAATGACTGACCGGCCAGAGTCACCCAGCTGTAAGTCCACAGTGAGCAGCCGGTCACATGAGCTACCTATTAACTTTAAAGAAATGGAACCCCTGGACAATAAAAGGTAGAACTGAGCCATGTTCAAACCTGTTACTGTGAACCAGTTTGCATTTCAACATTGCCTTTTTAATAAAATTAGGTTTTTCTAAACTCATTTTAATTATTTAAAGGAATTGAGATCTACAGGTGGCTGACAGATAAAATGAAACCCCGCATAAAGTGTCTTTGTAAGGTGTTGAGCCACCACAAGCCGTTCCTCCGAAAGATATTCCCTAAGTTGGTGTTTTAAATGGTGGTGGAGAGAAAGAGTCATAAAAACAGTAAGCAGTGATTAGTGATTCTGTTTGGTCTGTATTAAACTGAAAACAATACAAAATCACAATGTTTTATTATTTTGTTCTCTTTAGCAAAACTTAATAATTTAGGGACAGAAGACATGAACTGATCCAGTTTTGAAAGTGATTTATTTTTTTTTTTGCTATTATGTCTTCACACTGCAAATAAATGCTGTATTTTCAATTATACAACAGTATAACAGGCCACACAAGCTGATTGGTTGAGAGTCGTTCTAACTGTGCTGTTATTTCACAATAACGTCACAGGTTTTTCACCAACACTATCACTCCACTGAGATGCTGTTGCTAAGCAACGACTTTGACAGCTGTAGGAGACGCTCAAGACATTTGAACGTTTTTACTTTTTACTTTGCCACAAACAGAAAATGGACACTTTTAAGATCACATTTGACCGACAGCCGATTTGGTCAGACTCTGAAGATGAGACAACACTAAATTCCCAAACTGTCATCACCACTGAGCAGCTTTTCAGTCGGCAGCTGTGACAGAACAACAGCTGAACAACCTGGAATCAGCCAGAAATGAACCCAACACCATTCGCCAAACGTGTAGTCTGATCTTCAGAGTCTGACCAAATTGGACTGAGCCATAAAACTGACTCAATAAAACACAAAAAAGCTGCTCAGTGGTGATGACCGTTTGGGAATTTAGTGTAAGGAGCTGGAGAACGAACTGCCGGCTGTGCAGCGAGTGGGCGGAGCTCGTTACTCTGACATAGCAACGAGCTGCTCGTTAAGGAGCTATAATTTGGTGAAGGAACTGCGAACATTAAAACATACTAAACGCCGCGTTCACGGCCCAGTTTATTAATTTATTACTGTATTTATTTAACTGTTGTATTAAAGCAGTAGAACACTCGAGGAGTGTGTTATCGCCAATAACATCACGGCTGTGATGATCTACGGCGACCAAATCACAGCCGTGATGTTATTCTGCGATACACACTCCCTCTGTGTTCTACTGCTTAAGTGAAATTAGTTGTAGGAATATTATATTATTTTTAAACTATTACCCTATATTATATATTATTACTAAACTATTTTTCTTATTTCTAGATATTTTTACTTTAGGTCATTTTATCAAACAAATTTATATCTCACTACATTGACACTTTTGCTGATTTCAAGCACATTAAGAACAAGCAAAGTTAGCAGCCAATATAGTGAGAAATTTTATTTAATAAAATAATTTAGCTTACTTACTAAAATTCTTATAATAAGGTTAGAACAGTATCAACATGAGAAACATTATATATCAATATTAGACAAATTGACTAGATTTAAGATAATTTCACTTGACAAGATATTTTTTGCAGTGCAATTGTGCAACTGTATAAGGCCTTCAATGGGACACAAGACTGGACTGTGGGCACCCACATGTGCAGAATGTTTTCTTGGTGTGTCATGTTGAAATAAACATGGACGTCCCTGAAAAAGACGGTGTCTAAAAGGCAGCACATGTTGCTCCAAAATGTGTTTAGTCTTAATGACGCTTTCACCGAAGTGCAGGTTACCCACTAACACCCCCCATGATTTAGAACTACACTGGTAACAATCTGGATGTTCCTTTAATTCTTCAGCCTGGAGAACACAATGTCCATTTTTTTGGAACATTGTTGCAGGGATCAATTTCAGAATGAGTGTATTTACAAAAACAATAAAGTTGATCGGATAAAACATTACACATCTGGTTTTGGCACTGTTTTTGTTTAAATACAGATCAAAATAGATTTATAAATCACTCCTTTCTGTTTCTGTGCATTTTTCCATACTGTCATATTGTTTGTAACTAGCAAAGATACTTTCTCTAGGGAGACAACAAAGCACTTTTTGTAAGTCGGTATATTGTTTTTTTTTTCCTGTAATTTGTCAGCTACCTGTACATCCCTGAGCACTAACAGTTAGGTCATGTGTGCATGAGAGTCACTCTTGAAATAGCTATTGCAGCCTGCCACTGGTTCTAAACAGTCATTTTGTTTGTTTCACTTGTCACTGTTTTTAATGAAGCAGAAAGGTGGACAGACCAAAGTCATCCAGCTGCAAGTCGAAAGTGATTGGCTCGTCAGTGGAGCGACTTATTGACTTTAAAGGAATTAAACCTCTGGATGATACAAGGTAGAACTGAACACTTTCAATTCTGTACACTCTCAGAAAGGTGCTAAACTGTCACTGGGGCAGTTCCCCTATTGTCACTGGGGTGGAACCCTCAAGGCTCCATCTCAGTACCTTTAGTCAGGGAACATAACTGAACCATAATCCACTGAAATGATATGTTCTAAGCTGTACTGACTCCACACACCCCGTCTCGTCTCCAGGCTTTTATTTTACTGTTCTGTTTAAAACATTCAGTTATGAAAAGGTACAAATACGAACTTTTCACCTGGAAAAACTTATTTAAGGTTCACGATCAGACCTTAAAACCACTGTTGGAGCTTTGAGGGAACATTTATACTGTTTGTACCTTGATGAACGAAAAATGTACCTGAACAGAACCTTTATTTCTAACAGCGTAATTGTGACTTGATTTTCATTAAAAAAAATAAAATAGTGAAATTAATTGTGAGAAAGTCTATCAGAGAACAGAGATCTACAGGCTGATTTAATAATGTACAAATGTACAGGTATAAAGCACTTTAAATACACATATAGCTGCACCCTATCATCATAGTATTACATTATAAACACACAATATTTTGACATTTGCCACGGGCCGTGCTGCTGAGGGGAGCTTGGGGGGGGTGTGGCTCTCGGGAGGCACCACACTCCTGGTTAAAGAGGTTGTTGTTGTTGTGTCTGAGCTTTGGGCTTTGTAATGTAACCAGTTGTTAGAAGTGTCTACCATTCTCATGTGTCGTGTCCTCCCACGTTACCCCTTCCCTGTGTTGTGTTTGGGAGTGCTGGTCAGAACATTTCTAGTCTTGGTAAAGACTCGCTGCTGGAGTACATTTATAAAGTGCATTTGCCCATATGTGCAGTGTTTTCCCATTCTTCTTCTCTGCCAGTATTACAATATCATTAGCTTTTTTAGAGTGTGATCATAACCTCACATAACACACCTTGCACTGCAACTAAAACCAGGATATGAGTTACATGGGTAGGACAGTACAGTCTCTCTACAGCCTATTTTACAAAAACTTTAAAAATTGCCACATTAACATTGATTCCAGCCAGTCAAACAGAGCAAAATGGGCATGTATGGACTTTGGTACAGCAAAGCTGACTTTTTTTGCCTTTGTTTGGTTGGCCTGTGTGTTCACCTATGTAGGTCAGTCATTGTAAATATGCTTGTCTGTGGATTTGAGTGCAACTTTGAGAAATCAGTCAGTGAGATCTGCTCACACTGCAAGATAAATGAGCGAACTCCAGTGAACACTAAGGCAAATGATTAGCTGAACACATTAATATTAGGACCAACCTTTAAATTTAGAAGGCTACAACCAAATCAGGCTTAAAATGGGCTAAAATCACACTTTAGGAATAACACGCCCTGTAATTATGCAGAATGACTCACAGTGACGGTCACTGCTCGAAAAGAAAAGATGCACGACGATCTTTCATCTGGGCAAACTTGTCAAAACCTTTTCTCTCAAGCTCCATCAATCCATGAATGAATTCAAGTGATACCATAGCAAGAGCAGGTAAGGAAAGCAGAAGAGTTTTTAGCGACACTCAGTTAGCCATGGTTTTCTCTTGAACCTCTCTGGACTGAACAAGCAGATTTTGTCCTTTCCAGACTGAATGATGTTGAAATCTTCTGGCTGGTGTGTCCCAAATGTTTAATCTCTAATTTCTGCTCTAATGGCTGGTACCAAATGTAACTTTTATTGTATTCTTGACTTGACTCATTATATTGCTATTATGAGTGGCTACCACAGTGGCTAGCTGCGTGGTAACACCCATTTTGTAAGTGACATTTACTTAACATTTGGATGTATGTAAATGTATTGTTTTTTTATTGGCTGCTTTCAGCATGGGGCCAATGTGATTGGGCCCCACGGCTGGTTATTGAAAGTGTGTTGATCATGCGTAGACTTTAAGTGCTCACTTGGTTAGACGAGTGCTGACAGGGCCCCACCGGTAGATATGTGGAATGTACCGGACAGCCCTACCACCGTCATATGTAATAAACATGCAACAATGTTAGTTATAAAGAAAAAAAAAGTATTAGTTGTTATACTGAATTATTGATCATGTTGTGCACTGCTCCACCGCGACATTTAGTTGGAGGTGCTGAAATTTTAAGCAGTGTGATGTGACCAATGACATCATGCAATATGATTTACCATTTTTCATTTGATTTTTTTTTTTTTAATTTACATGAACTGAGCATGTCAGAGTGCTACATTGAGGGTTAAAACAATATTAGACTCCACATTACAGGTGGAGACATGCATGCTAACAAAATGGAGGAAAGCAAGTTGACATTTGTGGTAATAAAACCTATATGCTAATTTGTGCTGTTTGACTGAATAGAATATTGAGGTATAAACATTAAGTGTTTTTTTATTTTTCTATTAATCAGGCTGTAGAGAGACCATACTGTCCTACCATGAACATCACTGGCTGCTTTTAGCTTCAGTTCTCAGTGCTGCTTGGTTTCTCAGCATGTTTATTTAGTACTCGGTTTGCAGGGTTTTCTTTTGAATTAAACAGCTTTATTGATAATTGTCTGTAGACAGAGCATCTGTAGAGGCTGCGTTTCACGGAAGCGTGAGCTCCTCAGATGCGTTAGCCTCAGATGTGATTCCTGCTGTCGCTGTGCTGCTGCTGAAATTGACAGATGAGGATCAAAACTATGAAACCTACTTTACTTACAGCTGTACAGAAGAGCTTTTCTGATGGGGAACAAAACCCGCTCTTCTCCACTGCAGCGCTGCTCGATCAGAGATCACTAATGTAGCACAGCAAGCTAACACACTTCATTAACAAATCAGATAGATTTAATGATTTGACTGTGAAGGTATATTACACTCAATTACACTAACAGATACTTCATTTTATTCAGCATTGGCGAGTTCCAAAAAACATATGTACTTGTACTCATTATTGATGCAATCCTAGCATATTCTACACTACACATGGATGAATCCATGAATCCATGTTCCAAGCACTTTGCACTATCCATTTATTTCTGCAGTCTCAACTTCAGCATACGTATGATAATAAAGCCTAACCTACCCACATATGGCAAGGTTTTTTGAGTCACCTAAAATGTATTATTATGCTGTACAGGTCAGAATCACCTTCCATGATGAGTTTGTGCACTGACACGTCTGCCAGTATAAGTGGGACAAAACATGAGGACGACATAAGGTAATTCACCACATATACCCTCTATGGAGGAAGACAGCTTTGTAACTGGAACCAAAAGAAATAGCCCAGTTCTTTCTGCACTGATGGTGATGAGATGCCAGTGTCTTTCTGATTGCATCTAAGCATTCCATAACTTTGTTTAACAGTTTCAGTAATGTTTTAAAATCATATCTAATTTTTTCTCTCATTTTAGTGTGGCATCTGTACCATCAGCTGCAGACAGTGGTGTAGTTGTGAAGACTGGCCGGTCACGTGAAATAGCTAAGAAGTTTGATCGTCATGAACACAGACCATTCTCTCGCTATGCTGAAGCTGGAGATGTGGCCTGTGATTTGTGTCAAGAAAGAAAGTTAAAAGCATACAAGTCCTGTATGACCTGCCGTGCCTCCTTCTGCGAGAGACACGTCATGGATCACTACAAAATACCTGCACTGCAGAGCCACGTATTGGTGGAGGTCACGAAAAACCTCAGTATAATTCTGGAGGATGCTCAGCAGATGAAAATCAAGGAGATGCAGGAGAAAAACCAGGCTCTAATGCAAGAAAACCTGGCCTTGAAGGATGAGAACTCAGGTCTGAAGGAAGAGAACAAAAGACTGAAGCAAAAGATCTGTGAACTGAGACTTCCAGATTACATCTGCAAAGGGAAGACACCCCTAGCAGGTGAGTGTCTGGAAGAAATTATCATTTTATCTTCATTATCCAAGAGTTAAGTCTATGCAGGGCAGAGAGACTCAGGTTCCGCAGTGCGGTTTTCCCAGTGAATTCTGGGCCAGTCCACATCAGTCACATTGTTTTTCTTTTCTTTTCTCAGCTAACGTGGTGTGGGATCCTGCCTCAGCTCACTATGCACTCATTCTATCTGATGATCTTCTCAACGCTCAGAAATTTGACAAATGGGAGTGCATCCTCGCCACAGAAGGTTTCAGCTCTGGACGGCACTACTGGGAGGTGAAGGTCAACAGTGAGTTCATCATTGGGGTCACCAGTCAGGCTGCTCAGTGGAAAGGGAAGTTCATCTTCTATCCCAGTAAAGGCTTCTGGTGTCTCTGTCACTACAGACAGTCCTTCACAGCTCTGGACGAGCTCACCAAGTGCCTGCGAACTGAAACCCTACCCTGGGTGTTGGGGGTCTGTGTCGATGTGGATGAGAAGTGGGTCACTTTTTACAACACTGAGACTAAAGCTCACATTTACACATTCAGACCCATGAGCTTTGCAGACCAAGAGCAGATATATCCCATATTCAGCACTTTGGTGAAACAAGAAATGGCTTAAACCAGGGGTGGCAAACTGCAGTCCTAAAAAGGCCAGCATACAGCATAGTTTAGTGATTTTCCTGCTCTTAACCTAACTAACCTGACGAACTGAATCAGGCCTTCAAAAATTATAATTTAAGAAATTCCATTAGCCTAACCATGTATTGTTCCTGAAGTCACTGTGAACTGTGAGCCTGCATTTAGCTGACAATACAGTCTATGTTAAGGTCCTTGATTTCACTGCCAGTCCTAATGTGTAATGCAAGTGTACATCCAGGGCTGGGATGTAATGGAATACACGCATTAGGAATACATATTCAGTGTACAGAATTTAAGTATCTTTTCAATCCGGGTCATATTTTGTAATGACAGTATTCAGAATACAGTTACTTTACATTTTTAGGAGAATACTTTTAGAATACTTGCCTACTAAATAAAAAAAAATGTATATTAGCACACAGCATGTAAAGACAGAAGTAAGCTTCTTTACAAATGCTAAGGTTCCTGTTAAAGCCTTCCAAGTGCATGTTAGATAATATAAATGTATCCAATCTGCATTATGCAAATGCCAGTCAGAGCTTTTGGAGCAATGCGCATAGGTTACTAAGATAGCTCTTCTCAATATTACATCTCTTACAACAAACCTTTTTGATTGATTATTTTATTACAGCCCATGCGCTTGATTTTAATGCTTTTAACAGAAACACGGTTATAGGAAAGTAGTACTGAAACCGTATTAACTGTGTAGCTGCTGTATTTGATGATTCTTTCCAATGCAAGCAGTTATCATTGGGTGATTTCACATCCTTTGAGTATCTTTGTGTGGTTCAAAAAAGGGGTATCAAGAATACTACTAATACTTGTCCACAGGCCTCCAAACTACACTGCCAAGTTTATTGACGAATTTACAGATAATGTCTTATTTCCACCGACTTTGATCATTTTGTTATTGCTGGAGATTTTAACCAGCATATCGACAATCCAAATGACAATTATGCCAACAAAGGTGTGACACCTGTGGACAGCAGTATAACAGAGCCAACGGAGCCCCTCACTATAGGGGTTCAGACTTCATCATGTACCATTTCTCCTGGTTTACACTGCACATGCACTCTTCCAGTTCTGGAGAACATGGTGAACGATGACTCAGACTACATCACTTTATTTCACATCTCTGTTGATGATCAGTGCTGATCACTTTCCTGCTCATTCTTGCTGATGTTCTGATCAGGTCCCAATAACCTGAGGAACATCTGCTCTTACCTATATTCTTGTTAATACATGAGCATTATGCTCACTGAATGTACACTTTCCACCACAGTTCCCAGCCCTGTATATTGATGTCTTTCCCAAAGATCTGAATGCAGAATCACTAGTCACTGCTCCTATTGAACCACTGGCCAGTTAAAGCTCCTGCCATTCATACCCCAATAATGAACCCTCATTCGAAGTCACTTAGATTTTTATTCTTTTGATTTTCTTGGTTGTCTGGGCCTTTTATACATGCCATAGAGAGTGTTACTATTGCTTAATTGCTTATTGTACCATGCAGTGTTTTTGTTTGGTAGCATCTGCACCTCACTATGTTTCTTCACTCATTTATTTAAGCTTTTCCTTTAATTGGTCACTTTTCTGCGTATTATATATGACTAGTAAGTCAAATGTTTTTTCTTGTGGACATGACACTCTTGAAATCCTGCTTGCAGTTCACTTAGCAACATTTCTAGAAAATGTAGAAAGCAAGTTGGCATTTCCATTTGGCTTAGATGAGCCCAGGGCCGTAACTAGGATCAGAGTTTTAGTGAGGTCCGTTTCGCCAAAATGTTACCTACATCTCAGAGTGAATAAAATAACTGTCAAATATGAGAATTACACCAACTGTACATTTCTCCACCTTTTCCTTTCATTTGTTCCTTCCCCATCCTTCCATGAACTGATATTACTGTTCCATAAACTGATTTGACTCCTATCCTGTTTGTGTATTTAATTAATAATTTAAATTCTCTCTCTCTCTCTCTCTCTCTCTCTAGCAGGAAAGGTAGCTACTCAGAGTTAAGACAAAATACAGTCTGTTGTACTTGCTGAATTCTAGAACCCTACAATTGTATTTTGGGTCAATTATAATAGAAATGATAAAGTATTCGCCTTTCACAGTCACACATGCCATATGTTGTTATTTTCGGGAGACCCTGGGCTGATCAAATATGCCATTGTTTGACATGTAAATGCTAATATTATGTAATATCTTTATTAATCTGGGTCATTTATCAAAAATGTACCTAGCGCCTGCAAAATGTAGCATTTTTGTGCATATAGAGATTTTAAACAAGTGCAGTTGTAGTTATCCTTTCAGAAATTGTTAGTATGGAGCGTGTGAGCTGAAAGTGCAAGAATTTTGATGGTGACTCGTTCTATTAGTTATTATTAGTAAAAATAAACAATTAGCATAAGGCAGACATGTTTTTTTATTGATTTTCTGTCCTCTTGGATTCATGCCAAGTCCTAAAACTCTGAGACAGGGCTAAATAGTATTCATTTTATAAATCCTATTTGTCATACTTGTTATTTATCTGTCAAAATGTGTTTTAGGGCCTGTTTGTGTGATTTTGAGGGAAAAAAGTGTACTCATTGTGTTTAATGGGACACTGCAGTTTTATCGTACCCCATGGCTAAAATCTCCACAGAGTCACTCTGAACACACAGGGTAAGTCCTGATGGTCAGCATGGTGTGTGAAGTGCGTTGCTGTTTTTAATACATGATACTATACCATCACCAAGATACAACTTTAATTTCTCATCTATTCACTAATCTAGCCTACTATGGAGACTGTAGCCTAAATTGTGCAGCTACTGGAACTAGACTAAAGCATGTTGATTTAGCCAGCAACACTTTGAGTGCTCCAAATAAAAGAAATTAAATGTTATATAATAAAGAGTGAAAAAGAATAATGAGTTGTTGATGTTATATTAGCATATAGCATGTGTGCTGCATGCCTGATCATCTAAAGTCTGTTACTCTGGTACTCAGGGCAGCATAGCGACTTGTACAGAGATGAACAGAGTGGGCAGTTCAGTCTATGGCCGAACCACAGCTGTTCTGAGGGCAGCCGAGAACCTCTCAATGCTTACTGTGTAGTTTCATCACATCACACAGTACATTGAATCTCATTAAACCCTTCTGAAACTTCCTAGGATCTCGGTGTCCTAACATTAGTCACGAACGCTAGCCAAGTTACTGAAGCAATTGCAGATAGTAACTGTCGCTAAGCAGTGATTGGAGGGTTTAGAAAATAAAGGCAGGCTTTGATTGGCCATAATACAGTGACAGCGCTCACAGAAAACAAACTTCATCCCAGAAATGCAGCATAATAAATATTCTATCCCGATTTCATTGGGTGGCCTGAATACCGTGGCTGCGCCGCTGAGTAGACCGTATTATCATAATGACACTGTTTGTACATTTTCTCATGAATGGAGTGAAAAAACTCCTCAACTACAGAGGTCTGGACCTCTGTGTCCTCATAGCTAATTATGGCCATGGATGAGCCCTAAGATATGAGAGCCTAACTGCCTCGGGGGAGTAGGTCGTGACATCAACAGATATCAGCACGTAGCAGGCAGCATTCAGCTTAGACAAACATTCCTAAAACTGTCTGTATTTAAAAGACTGATGAAATTAATACAACTCACAGTGCCACTTAACTGCTATAGAACTTGCTGGTGCATCATGCAGTGTATAGTAACCAAATGAGAGTGGCCACCTTTATCCATCTCTCTGATGTGTACAATGAGTCCAATTGGAGAAACAACCCAGAGCCACATCAGATGCCACACTTAGCTTAGCCCAGTGGAGGCATAAAATGACCTCTCCTTTGTCCTCTCTTTATTTTGTTCCCTTTGTTGATTTGTGGTGCAGCTAGATCCTCTGTGACTCCAAACTTTGCAAACGATGCAAATTGTCCTATTTCTTCAACCTTTTATGTAATAGTGGGTGTGGACGGCCTCACAGCTCTGAACAAGTTTGTATTCTCTGGACACGTCGTTAACAACAGTAGTCAGCCAAGAACAATGTCCTGTAGCAATACTGTCTAATACACTGCTGTGTACCTAGCATATTTTGTTGGCTATTATACTATAAATATACTGTGTAGCTTTACAAGCTTTGATATTATGGATATATACAGATATAATTACTTTAAATCAGAACCACACTTTTTCACCAATATGAGGGATATGTCTTGGTGAATGCAAACAAATGAAATAAAAAAATAAATAAATACCATAAATAGAATAAAGAATAATAAAGAGCCAAGTGAAAGGATGGCTCTTTATTCTTTGAATGTACATATGGAGATATGAATATATACATATGAGAAGACATGTACTATTTACAGAATATTACAGAATGATATGAACATATGTAAAAATGATAGTCATATGCAAACGCTTGAACAACCCTGATCAAATTGTTATTGTTATTAAAATAGTATGAGTAGATGACTAAAATAGTATAGAGAAATACTTCTGCAAGTTTCAATACACAATTACTGTTTGTTTGCTCGATTTAACATATTGGGAAATAACTTATTTTTGTCTGTGCAAAACCAACAAAATGTTTTTGAGCAGGGTGTTCAAACTTATGTACATGATCTGTATTAATGGGAAATTTTGAATAAGTACACCCTTAATCAAATAGAATAGACATTTAATCAAATAGTTAAGCATTGGCTAAAAGGGAATATTAATGTCTCACAAAAGAGGAAATGTAGGACGCATTGGGCCATAGTCTGCCTGTTCGAGGGCTTCCCAAAAGCAGGTGAACTTGGATGACCTTACTTGCAGGTGCACTCTCAGTGAACTCATGTGAGTCCATCTGATATTCAGTAGGGCCTTGTAGGATCAGATAAACTGGCTGAAACCAGCTTTTTAAAAAAAAAAAACCCAAGGAGAACACAATGAACTTATATAGTGATGTGCAAATCTTTAAAACCCTGAACAATTTTCAATGAAATACAAAGACAACATATCAAATGTTGATTTTTTTTATGCCCATTTTAAATTTTGATGCCAACAACATGTTCCAAAAAAGTTGGGACGGGAGCAACAAAAGGCTGGCAAAGTTGTGTAATGCTAAAAACAACAACAACAACAACAACAACAACAACAACCCCACACACAACAACTGGTGGTTAATTGGCAACGGGTCAGTAACATGATTGGGTATAAAGACCATCTCAGAGAGGCGGAGCCTTTCAGAAGTAAAGATGAGGAGGGGTTCACCACTCTGTGAAAGACTGCACCATCAAATAGTGCAACAATTCAAGAATAACGTTTCTCAACATAAAATAGCAAAGAACTTTTGTTTTTCATCATCTACGGTACATAATATCATTAAAAGATTCAGAGAATCTGGAGAAATCTCTGTATGTGAGGGACAAGGCCAG